TTGGCCCAACAGATAAAACTTTATTGATATTTATAGAAAAAAAAACTAAAAAAATTGAAGGCGGTAAATGTCCGTAAATAGCTCAAAAAGAGTCAAAATATTTTCAAAATTGTATGGTGTATAGGAAATGCTAATTTAAATATTCAGTGAAATTTGCATGTATCTACAGTTATTCGTTTTTGAATTACAACAAAATAAGGAAATCGCTACATGAGAAATCGAGTGAATATCCAATGTTGTAAAAATTTGAATTTCAAACGCTCATAAAAATTTAATTTGTCTTTCTTATAGACATTTTTTTTTTGATAAAGGTAGATAATCTTATAAGGAATCTTGTATTACATTTTAAAATCTTAGATTTAAAAAGAAAATTTTTTTCTTAACTCAAAATAATTTGCTAATTTTCGTGATTTTTCCATATTTTGTCAATTTTTGAACTTTAAATACTTATAAAAAAAAACTGTGGCTAACGATTTTTAATATTTTACATCTGCCCTTGAAACAATATACTAGGAGCCTTCTATTAAATTTTCAAGTGTTTTTAACCAACAAATAAAATTTTATTAAAATTTTTAGAAAAAAAACTAAAAAAAAAATGAAAAATGAAAATGTCCCTAAACAGTTCAAAATAAATCAAAATATTTTGAAAATGTTATCATGTATAGAAAATGCAAATATAAACAACCAGTGAAAATTTCATGTATCTACGGTCATTTGTTTTAAAGTTACACCAAAAACCAAATTCAATTTTGTGAAAAATTGATTTTGAGTAAAAATTCCCGTTTTTCCTTAATTTTTCTTTTGTTTTTCTTGGCGCTTTTGAAAATTACTGGGAATTTTAAATTTTGACCTCCCCAATGCACCAACGATATTCACTTTCCAATCGAACAAGATACTGAAGTCGAAAATCGAAGCATTATTTCGACTACTTATCGTGTACACAGACACAAAAATTAAAATTAAAAAAAAAATATAAAAACACACATCATTGTAAAATCAATACATTCATCGTTTCACTCAGAATCTAAAATGTTAATAAAAGATTTCACATAAGTTTGTCTACCTATAAAAAACGTATACTGAAACTTGAATTTTTTATGAGTGTTCGAACTTATAATTGACACGATATTCGATATTCAGAGGTAAATCGAATTCCCATTAATCGATTTTTTGTATTTTGTTGTATTTCCAAAATGAATAATCGTAGACTCACCAAATATTTATATTAGCATTTTCCATACAACGTAAATTCTTTAAACACTTGACTTTTTATGAACTACTATATATGATAAAATTTTTCAAATTGAATTCAAATATAACACATCCACTACAACGACATTCTCAACAACCATTGTACAGCAAAGCTGTACCCACTTGACCACATTTTTTTTTATCCATTTACACTTCCAGGTTACTATTTTTATCACCTAAATTTAAATAATATAATTTAAAAATATTAGACAATAGGCATACATAGATTTATAATAAATAATAATATCATATTATTAAATAGTAAATCTGGGGGGAAATAAAAAAATGTGGGGGAAATGTCAGCATCAAAAATATATCGGGGAGAAAGTGTACTACTACATCAAAAACAGTCAGGGGGAAAATGTCCGAGATTAAAAAAGAGGGTACCTACTTGTTTTATATTTTATTTCATATACATTTTATGATTAAGTTTTAATATAATCTGCAACGACTGAATACTGAGAATTTTCTTAAATTTAACAAGTTAAAAATCTATGTTAAAAATAAATAAGAAAATATTAATTTTTTAAAACTTTTTAATAGTAATTTGGTTTTCTATTAACATAATAACTTATTAGTTCTTAAAATATTCATTGAAACAAATTATATTTTTAGATCCAGTTTTACTCTGAAAAGTAGACTGCCAATAAAAGAATAATTGTTAGAATAGCTTTCTTAAATTCAAAGAAGATCTGTCAGCTATTGAAACAGGGAACTTGCATATTATTGTGAAAAGTGATAAATAGAGGAGTGTGGTAGGGATCAGGTGGCACTACTAAGGATACTTTGAATGAAAGTGTTTCAACATTGCTAAGTACTAAATCTAATAAGGAGTCATGTTTATTAAAGTTGTTGTTATTTAGAAAAAAATAATTTGAGGCAAAAAACTCAGGGTTGCAGGGAGTATGTCTATGGGAGGAGAAGGTTAAACCAGAGTCATCAGTGATGACTAATCATTATCCCATAAAACTTCAGGTATATTATAATCAGGGGCGGCGCTACACTAGGGCCAGGGTGAGAAAGTGCCCCCCCCCCAAAAATTGTATTTTGCCCCACCCCTATAATTTAATGTTGAACATTTTAATCTAATCTGAAAATGCATTTTATATTGAGCATTTTATTAAATATTATAATATATAATATAATACATTAATACTATCCTAATAATTTGTAATTATTTATATTCATGTAATACTAATAACTAATGGTACGTTGATATTTAGATATAATCATAATAATAAAATAAAATAAATAATACTAACATAATAAATTGCATTTATTGATTTTTATTTTAATAGGTAATACCAATATGTTGCATTGTTGCTATTTAGATACTTAAAAATCCCTCTCTGTGACTGTATTTGTTTAATTCCAATGAACATAAAATATAACACTTTCATATGTATGTCAAGTTGATATAAAACATATTATAAGTAGGTACTTTATGTTATACCTTATACCTACTTTTGATTCCATTATGTTAAAAATATGTAAGTAAATAAAGACATTTTATTAATTAGGTAATTATAAATTATATTATTATTTATTATATTTATAAGTAATACATTTTTTCAATGGAGTGAACGAAATTATCTTCCACTAAACATAAATAAATGCCAAGTAATATCTTTTACACGTAATAAAAATCCAATTATATTTCAATATCAAATTAATAACCATTATCTGGATAGAGTTAATTCTATCAGAGATTTGGGTGTCTACTTCGAGAATGATTTATCGTTTAAACTAAATCATAGTAAAATTATAAATAAATCTTTTAAAATGCTTGGTTTTATAAATAGAAATACATAAGAATTCAAAAACCCTGTTTGTTTAAAAACCCTATATATGTCATTAGTTAGATCTAACCTCGAATTTTGTTCACTTACTTGGTCTTCTAATTATTCTAAATATATAAACAAACTTGATAATGTCCAATTTAAATTTTTTTAAATAATTTCTTATATTACTAATATACATACCACTATACTCTATTCAGAATAAGAAACACAGTCGGCGGCGACGAGTTTTCGTCGGGCGGCGGTCAGACGCCGTCCCCACTACAGCGACGCGTCGGGCGCTACCACGGAAAAAAGCCACGCCCATGCGCACAACTCGGCCGCCGTCTAGGTTTCTTATTTTGAACAGAGTATAGAGACACCGTTAATATTATAGAAAACTTTTTGAGCCTAGACTCACTTAATATCAGAGGTCAATTAGCAGACATTATGTTAGTTTATGATATTTTAAATAACCTCATTGACTGTCCTGACCTACTATCCGAAATTGGTTTTCGCGTCCCAAGTATAAGCACAAGGAACTTGGATCTTTTCGTAATTCCTAAGTAAATTAACAATAGTGGGAATAGTACATTCTTTTCAAGAGCTCTTGTTCTGGCCAATAAGATATCAACCAAATTAGATTTTTTTGTACTTTCTCATAACATATTTAGATTTAAGGCTTTTAATAAGATCATTATAGTATAAGGGTTTTTTTTTTTTTTTGTATTTTAATAAGATTAATTAACAAGTTTATAATTTACCTCCTTGTCTTTTACACACATGTTATTACAACAGTTGTTAAATATTGTAAAAAGGGCATAGCCCATTAAATTATATATAAATAAATAAATAATTTAATTTTTTTTTTTATTATTTAGAAATTAGCATATTATACCCAAAACATTTTTAGTAATACCTTCTGAATATATGATATAAGCAAATTAGCGGGTGATCGAGTAGCGATACATAAATACCCTAACAGGAAAAATGTTTCCCCCATATTGCCCCACCCCCTAATCAAAAATATCTAGCGCCGCCACTGATTATAATTGCCACAAAACAGTGGCGTGGTGAACTAAACATTTTCCAAAGGCCAGTTACAAATATCCCAAGTATTTATGCATAATAATGTATTAATGTAATATAACAAGTTATATTTCAGATCGTTATTGACTATCTATTGAGAATATAATATTAATTTTACTATGGGACCCACTGGGTACCACCCACCCATCTTTTTAAGAAAAATTTCAGAGGCCAAGGCTGAAATTACCGTTTGCCACGCCACTGCCACAAAATATGTACATATAATTATGGTGAAGATTAAGAACATGTTCAACAGAATTTTTATGAGATTGGTAGACAGTAAGTGGAGATTGAGGAGAGATATATACACAACAAAGTAAAAAGTTAATTTTATCGATGGTAAAACGAACAAAAATGTGTTCACACTGACACGCTTGTGTTTCTTTAGTATTTGTGACAGACAACAGTCACAGTACCAAAATGTAGTATTAGTAAGTTCTTACCTGATGTTTTTGAAGCTATATATTATAAAGCATTGCAGGATTATATTAAGGTAAGAATATAACCAACTGTTTTTTTAGTTAAATGTAAAATTGTATCGTATTAAATTAATACAATCGTATCAAATTAATACAGCACAGTTTTAATAATTATTATAATCATACATGGACACATGGTATTTGCAGCTATTTATTTTATAACAATGAAAAGTAAAAGATACTCTTAGAATTAAACAACAATTTAAATCGTTTTTAACTTCAACAAATGCCAAAAAAATTGTACATTTGTTTGTATAACATTGTTTCGCAATTTTAAAAATAGTTAATTAGATAAATTATTAAATTAATATTGTTTGTCTTCAAATTGAGATATGTGGAGTTTCATACCTATTTCAGAGTATTTCCTGAACTATTTTATGATAAACACAGAAATCGAAGAGGATTAAAGTGAAGAATTGTTCATAGAGTTACGAATATGCTTAAGCCGTGACTCATTTATTTTAGTTAGAATTTCTTGCTGAAGATGAAGTGCATCTTCTAAAGGTACTTGAGCCAATTGGCTAGCAACAAGTTGTCCAAATACGGTAAATTCGGTGTTTGAAAAACGTGATAATGATGAACTTACTTCTCTTAATACTTTCACTGCTTCATCTAAAGAATTGTTTATTTTTAGAATTTTAGTGGCACTAGATTTTAAAATGTTTCGGTTTTGCAAAGGTCTTTTTTTTGGCTGTACTTGGAATGATAAATCCTCTTCTGGCATGTATTTAGTAACTTTGTGTTCTTCATTATTGCAATTTTGTGATGTTCCATCTGTATTGATTTCATCATTTAATATCTAGGTAAACACAAAAATAAAATTTTATGAATGTGCATGATCAAAATATTTTTAAGGTTTGAAGAGCTTTTGAACTTAATAAATAATGTATTTGTTTTTTTTTTTTTTTTTAAGGTACTGTTGACTGTAAGTGAATGGCAAAATATTATATACAATTTCAAACTTAAATGGAATTTTCCAACATACATCGGAGCAATTGACGAAAAACATGTTGTAATTCAATCTTATGTAAACATTGGTTCACAATATTAGGTACAATATACAATTACAAGGGGATTTTCAGCATGGGGTATTTTTAGCCTTAGTTTATGGGAACCCCGATGGGAACTATAATTTTAAGTGTATCGACATAGGAAGCTACATGCAAATCAATCAGATAGTGGAATATTTGCTAAGTCAAATTTAATGAAAGCAATATTGAATCTAACCAATTTAATATCCCAGAGGAAGTGAGATCGCAGGTGAAATATATTCCCCTTAAAAAATAATTGAATGAAACTGTATTTCGAAACTTGATTTCGACACGCAGTTAGGTAGAGAAAAAGTTTACAATTATAGACATTGCTGAGCTAGACATATAGTGGAAAACACATTCAGTATACTGGTAAGCTATTTTTTAAAACCTATACAAGACACACTCCGTAGACAATTAAAGCTTCCTAAGCCTCGCATAATTGGATTAGACAAAATAATAATGATAGTGGAATATCGGTAAATATAGATGATTATTTGAGTGGAAGTATTATTCCTAGGAGATGGCAAACTGATTTTATATCTGAGAGCATAGTACCTTTATGTGCAACGCAAGAAAGAAATAGTATTCAAGAAGCTTATCATAAATGAGAGAAATTGGTGGATTACTTTATAGAAGGAGTAGTAAATTAGTAATACAAGATTGAATGTATTAAATTATATTAATTTCATTATTTATTGCAATTTAAAGTTTTTTATAAGTAAAAATTACAATGTATGAAAATGTATTATTGAATTAAGTAATTATTTGAAAGCTATTAAAACATAACTTTAAATCTTTCTTTAATAATAAAAATTGTATTATCATTATATACATAATCAGTATAATATTTAAGTTCACTATTAAAAAATAAATAAATTATTAACTTACTAAATTTGATTCAGTCTCCATAATATATTGTTCAAAGTTTTTTCTTAAGAAACTGTCTGCATATGAAAACCAATTTAATTTTGGTATATATATATCTTTTTTTCCACATCCTGTTATCGTTGACATGTGTATTTTATTCACTTCTTGGTTGTATGTTCCTCTAATGCTTCTGATTTTAGAACGTAGTTCTTTAATATTTGAAAGTTTTGAAATCGGTAACAACATTTCTTCAGCCGCATCTCTCATTTTTCGATTCCGAAAGTCTGGTAGGGCCTTATCCCACAAACAAGGGTGTTTCTTATAGCATTTGAGGAATTCGATCGTGTCAAATCGCTGCTTGATGATTGATTGAGACATGATATTTTAATATTTAATACCTAGGTATTCAAATTTCAAGTTGGAATAATAATTAATAATTACACCAATATTATTCTACTTAACGCCGTTAACTTTGAGCGATAAGAGATAACAATATTATACTATGTGATAGTAGTTGACAGCAGTCAGCAACCACGATTAAAGGGTATGCTGACAAATAGATCCCGCGTCATCGAGATCCCGGTAACCATTCTGATAAGAATTGATACCAGGTCCGAGTCATTCAGATCCCGAGACAAAATGATCCCGCGTCATTTAGATCCACTGACATTTATAGATCCCTGCTTGTTTGACACATCTACGTACATTTATAACTGGCGGCATTTTTAAAATTCAAGTTAGTAGAGAATTATTTATGCCTTTACAGTTTACTCCCCAACTTCATTAAAAAATAACTTTTAACATGGTTAGTGTCAATAATTATATTATTCTGATTTAATTTTCATTGTAATGATGAGGTCCAAGTGTCACAGTCACTAGATAAGTCCTAGTCCCTAGGGTCTAGACTCCACAATGCACACATTTAACTAGGTATATCGTAATTATCAATCTAAATTTATAAAAAATACTGTACACTATTTTAGATATATAAATTTAAAATACAGAACAAAACCACACACATTTCTTTGTTGTTGTATCCAAAAATTGCAAACCTGCTTTGTAATTAGGTACTTTACTACATTCCTATCTAATTAAAAATTTATATTTTTCTAAAATTAAATAATTAAGAAAAATATATAAGTATATAAATAAAATTAATTTTCCGTTTTTTGGCTGGTATCGGTGCATGAAGTTTTTTTTTAAAAATTATGACGATCCCAAATAATTTGACCTGGGCATTTGCATTTATATAATTTATAACTATTTATTACCTACATTTTTTTCCTTTAATTCCTAATACGTAGAATTTAGATCGACCTCATATACATATTTTTTTATTTTTTTTTATTTATTATCCCGCAACAACATAAGCCATTGGGAGGGGGGTGAAACTGTAGGTTTTGTGGAACACATGGGTGATATACATATTTTGTAATAGTGCACTAGGACAATAATTATAGTAGATACTTACCATAAGCTATACAACTCGAGTTAATGATTATTAATGTCTATACCTATCCATATTCAATTTATGTGTCACATATAAGAGTATAAGACATATTAACTATATTAAACTTTAAGACATAATCAATAGGTACTGCAATATAATACGTTAAAAACTAATAAAAATGTATAATATTATCTGAATCACACTAAATCTTTTTTTTCTTATAAATTTATAAAAATGGGTGATTTTGCTTTAACATTAAATAAATATTTTTTACACATTATAAAGGTAATGGTAGTACATTGGTAATTTGTATGAGCCCTAACATATTTCACTCTATGAACTACTTTAACATACCTATTGTACCTAGTACCTACCAAAGATTATACATACCTACCTACCTAGTATAAATAATAAAAATAATTAATGCTAGTACCTATACCCATTTGTACCTGTGGGTTATGAAAGTGATGCATTTTGACTTTTGAGTTAGTTTACATTAACGTTCATCACCCGACACCCGAGTGTAGGCATATTATTATAGTCATATATTATGTAATATAGTTTTATCTTTTATATATAGTTAATAGTTATACTATAGCTGACCCGGCAAAGTTTTTTTGCCATATAAATTATATGGTATTAATATACTATTATACTATTAGTATAATTATACTCCTGGCTGATCCAGCGTACTTCGTTGCTCATACAAAATGACAACTCTTTAAAAAATTGTGGTTGTTAAAATCTTTTTGGATGTAACTCGCAGCAGTAATTGCAATTCAGAGACCCTGGTAAGCAATCCTACTACGTCGGATCGCGGACAATGTGCGAGACACGATTAAAGATATACCTTTAATCATGGTGCGACAACATATCAAATAGCTGACACCATCGATGAGCGGCTATAAGTAAAGCGACAATCCGATTTAATGCACGCTTGGTAAACCAACAGTATAGCGTACGCAGGATTTTAGTTCGGTTAGGGTTTTATCTGAGTAAATAACTTGCATTATTTTTTACTCACAGTGGAGCAGGAACTATTTTTCATGAGGGGTTGTGGCAAAACATAAAACATCCAAAAAATATAATATATTTATTTGTGGATCTATAACAGAAAACCTTTCTTAATATTTTATTCTTTTAATGTTGATATAGGTAGTTTATTATAATAAAATAATTATATAAATGTATTGATAAAATTATAGTATAATATTAATAGTAAATACATTATATTTATACATTTATATATTGAAACGAAACATAAAACATATTTACTTTATACCTGAATTTATATTAAAATGTAACAATATATAAATAAATATTAATTAATTAAATATAAAAAAGGTGATCTAATGTACTGTATGTCTGTATAGGTTACAAGTGTGAAGTGGGTCACTGTATAATGGATGGTATTAAGTTTGAATTCAATGATATAATATCATCATTGTATAAGAAAAATGATTCTGATCGGAGACGGTACCTATATCAGTCTAGGTATAAGACATATTATAAACTTATCTATCGTATTAAAAAAAATTTACCTAAAATAGGTTCCTATAATAAATTCCAAATTAATCATATCACAATATCCATTAGGTAGGTACTTAAAATGCGTTATACGTCAACAACAAACTCTGATACCATCATAGTCCATACTCAATAGATATATAATAGTGTACTTTAGAAGTTTCAAGTACCTACCCACGAATAATATTACATAATCACAACAAAATAACTAAAATAGTTATTCTAGGTTTTTTTATTATGTATTTACGTACCAAATTTGAACTTAAAATGACTATAAAAATAAACTGTGCTTCTGTATTTTTTAGAATTTTTGGTAACAGAATTAAATACTTACGTGGAATCTTGTTTTAAATTTTCAATCCTTAGATATAAAAGTTGAACATTTTATAAATTTTTAACTACAAAATAATTATTCAATTTTAAATTTGATACATTTTGTCAAAATTTGATCTTTAAATGCTTATAAGAAAAAAACTGTGCCTATGTATTTTTAATATTTTTCAACTGCTATTGTAACAATAATCAATATATCAGCATTATATTACATTTTTACACTTTTCGGCCCAACAGATAAAACTTTATTGATATCTATAAAAAAAAAAAACTAAAAAAAATTGAAAGCTGTAAATATCCGTAAACAGCTCAAAAAGAGTCAAAATATTTTCAAAATTGTATGTTGTATAGGAAATGCTAATATAAACATTCAGTGAAATTTGCATGTATCTACAGTTATTCGTTTTTGAATTACAACAAAATAAGGAAATCGCTACAAGAGAAATCGAGTGAATGTCCAATGTTGTAAAAATTTGAATTTCAAACGCTCATAAAAATTTAATTTGACTTTCTTATAGACATTTTTTTTTTTGATAAAAGTAAATAATTTTATAAGGAATCTTGTATTACATTTTCAAATCTTAGATTTAAAAAGAAAAATTTTTACGAATTCTTAACTCAAAATAATTTGCTAATTTTCGTGATTTTTCCATATTTTGTCAATTTTTGAACTTTAAATGCTTATAAAAAAAAACTGTGACTAAGGATTTTTAATATTTGTCAATACCTTTGATATAATATACTAGGAGCCTTCTTTTACATTTTCAAGCTTTTTTAACCAACAAATAAAATTGTATTGATATTTTTAGAAAAAAAACTATAAAAAAATGGAAAATGAAAATGTCCCTAAACAGTTCGAAATAAATCAAAATATTTTGAAAATGTTATCGTGTATAGAACATGCAAATATAAACAACCAGTGAAAATTTCACTTATCTACGGTCATTTGTTTTAAAGTTACACCATAAACCAAACTCAATTTTGTGAAAAATCGATTTTGCGTAAAAATTCCCGTTTTTCCTTAATTTTTCTTTGGTTTTTCTTGGCGCTTTTGAAAACTACTGGGAATTTTAAATTTTGATCTCCCTAATGCACCAACGATATTCACTTTCCAATCGAACAAGATACTGAGGTTGAAAATCGAAGCATTATTTCACTACTTATCGTGTACACAGACACAAAAAAATAATAAAAAAAACACACATCGTTGTAAAATCAATACATTCATCGTTCCACTCAGAATCTAAAATGTACTTCTATTTTATAATATATGGTATAGAATATTGATATATAGATTATTTTCATAATACATTGATGTCATAATGCTCTTTTACAGTGTTAAATATTTAGATACCTACTTATACCTATTGTGTAATACAATAATAAATAAAGTATACCCTTTGGCCTTTATGGTACAAACCTCAAGGTAGTTAGAGATTTAAGGTATTAAATTTAGTATTTAGAAGTAAAAGAGGTTATTAAAAAAGACAATTTTTCAATTCGCCAAAAAATATTCCGAAGTTGTAGATTGGGAACCAATATTATAAAATTTATATTTTATATAGGTAATAAATATTAATTTATAATTTTCAATTACGTAATCGAAAACATCGTTTTACTTTTTTACAGTCACCGTAAAGTATTGTCGCCCCTACTAAGTCCTAATATAAACCAGTGGGCTATTGCCCTTTCGAACCACCCCTTAAATACGACCCTGGTGTATACTGTAGCCTGTATTAGTATATAGGTATATAGGTATTATTAATATATTAATAATTAATGCAATATATAGAATATAGATTATTACTTCTTGGTTACTGTGACCTAAATATTTAATAATTTTGAAAGAAATATAAGTACATTTAAAAGTCATAATTATTGGCAGGTATCAAAGTATCGACATTGAACAGTTCTTACCAAAAATGTGAAGTTTTATGAAGCGTACTATAACAATGAACTATGAAAGTATGAAGTACCTAGTATAGTAATATACCAGTAATATTTTTAAATACTTTATTTTAGAGTAGGTACCTAACTGCAAATTGATGTTTTATAACTATTTCTTTGGATTCACGGTTTTGTGAATTTCTTGTATTATAACTTATAAGTAATTCCATTAAAAAAAAAACATTAGTGTACCTAGTCTAAAAACTATTATATAAGTATTATATACCTAGAAGCAGATAATGATAATAAACTTTCCTTCTGCTTGGTATTTTAAAGTTTATACAGGGATCACAATGGACACAGATAGGTACACAGTTCATTAATCCAATTTGTCTTGATCTATCAACATCACTAGGTACATCAGTGCTTATTTTTACTTTGTAAAATTTTAAATTTGTCTACAACATGGTGATCCAAAGAATTACAATTAAAAGGGCCGTTGACTTAAATGGACGTGGATTCTCATTTTGAGACAATAATGGAAATTCTTATTGGAAGCACCAAACTCGCAGGGATGGTTTCACAGTTCGATGTTCTCTATGGCGTTCAAAGTAATTTTTAAATAATGAATATTACATTATACATATAGGTAGTTCCTTACATAAAATAAACACATTTTTGTAATTAAATTAATTTTTAGGCACATAAATAATGATTTTTAATCTATTATTATGTGATTATATTGAATCAAATTGTAAACATTTTTATGACTAGGGATAATGTTTTTCAAAATGTTTTATTAAATTAAATAATTTATAATCAATACAATTTTCTAATGTCTTGTATTTCCTACTTAAACAAATGTTTTCAGAAATGCTTATTAGATATACGCGTGGTATAATCAATGATTACCGATTAGCAAGTGATTTTATTGAAATAAGGCAACCAAGACCACGTGTATGGATAGCACAAGACAAAAAAATAAAAACCGGGCTAACCAAGTTGAGGAGCCGCATATTTTCAGTGGCCGAATTTTTGGGCTACTGTAAACACAGTACACCGAATTTTGGAATAAACCGTCCTAATGAAGGTGAATTGATTAATTGGTTAAAATCTTTTTTTCCATCAAATTTGGAATAGGTTACAATATTAGTTGTACCAAAAAATGTATGTTTTGTTTCAAAATATATTACTTTTATGACATTCATGTAGGTAGGCTTCACATTTGTCTACTTTTGTATTCATATATTTCATAATATTCTTAGATTCAAACTGAATATAATGGAATATATTTTTTATACCTTGATTCAGTTTTTCATATTATTTAATTTAATATTGAAGAGAAGATTTTATTGTCATTTTAATCTTAAATACTTATAAGTAGGTATACAATTTATTACAATATTATTATTTTATAGAGCAACAAGTTGATGATGATGCAAATAATATTGCAGATAATATTGGTAATCATGATTTAATATAAAATTTAAGAGATGATTTTATTGTCATTTTGATCTTAAATATTTTAAGTATACAATTTATTACATTATTATTATTTTATAGAGCAACAAGTTGATGGTGATGATGACGATACAAATAATATTGCAGACAATATTGGTAATCATGATTTAATATAAAATTTAAGAGATAATTTTATTGTCATTTTGATCTTAAATATTTATAATATACAAATAATATTGCAGATAATATTGGTAATTATGATTTAATTTAAAATTTAAGAGATGATTTTATTGTCATTTTTATCTTAAATACTTATAAGGATACAATTTATTACATTATTATTATTTTATAGAGCAACATGTAGATGGTGATGATGATGATACAAATAATATTGCAGATAATATTGGTAATCATGATTTAATATACAATTTAAGAGATGATTTTATTGTCATTTTGATCTTAAATATTTTAAGTATACAATTTATTACATTATTATTATTTTATAGAGCAACAAGTTGATGGTGATGATGACGATGCAAATAATATTGCAGATAATATTGGTAATCATGATTTAATATAAAATTTAAGAAATGATTTTATTGTCATTTTGAACTTAAATATTTTAAGTAGGTATACAATTTATTACATTACTATTATTTTATAGAGCAACAAGTTGATGGTGATGTTGATACGAATAATATTGCAGATCATATTGGTAATCATGTCTACTTTTTTGTTTGTTTTTGTACCTGTAAGCAAAATATAAATTATTTATTTATTGTAGAGCCAGCAGTGTGCCAAAATTATGGTTATGAATCGCCTCCTCCATTTTTCCAGCAGGTACTTCTAAACCATAATCTGTCTTTGATGTCACCCTTACCTCTATATGAACCACAGTATTTTGGACAAGGTAAGATACTGAACTTAGTATAATACTTTATAATCTATGATTAATATATGTTTTACACACATGTAGCTTTTGTTTTAAAAATTTAATACTTATTCACAAAACAATTATCAGCCCGTTTGTCAGTACTTTTTTTTTTTAATATTCACTAGAATAGTTATGCATACATTGAGTATTGACTGAAGTTTAATAAAATATATTTGGCTATATCCAGTCTTTGTTATATTTGTAAATTGTATGATTTATTTGAATGATTGTTGGGAAATGGTAATCATTATATAAGTTAATAATTCCTTAAGATTGCTATTGAAGATAATTATTATAGTTTTTTTGAATTTTTATGCATGTCCTAAGTAAATTATTTATTTTAGAACCAATAGGAACCGAAAACGATGGTGATATGCCAATTGTTTATGTCGGGAGACAGAATGAAGAAGGTAATAAATAACCTCTTAAAATATTTATTTAACAATGTGTAATATACTAATATTCATTTTTTAATATAGGACTAGCTTTGAAACTATAAACCTACCAAACATTAATTTTAATAATGTTTACTCAAAAAGCATGGTAGACACTATAGTAATTTAAAGAAACACAATCTAAATAATGTTGATTAGAGTAGTTGTGGATTGTCTTCTGATTTCATAATATTTATTTAATATTTCCATACTATCTATTTATTCATTTTTCAATTATTTTCAATTTAGAGTAGAGCTATTAATGTATTAATTTTACTAGGTAGTGTATGTATTGTGTATACACAATTTAAAGTAGAAAATAAATTTCAACTTAAGTATATTTTCTGATAGGAATCTAGCTGGTACTCCTGGGAGGACAAAATTCTAGTACTTTTCTCAATAATTGGGGAAAACAAAAATAAATTATTAAAAACAAGTTTTATATTTTAGATGGATTTTTTTTTTTTTAAATTTTCATTTAATTGTTGATAAAATTTTTTTTACTCAGTTAGACAACTTGAAACTACGTATTTATTGTATTTGTTTAATTGAATGATATACTTTTTTCAGAATAAGAAGGAACCAGGCGGCCACGGACAAAACCGGTTTTGTTACGTAAATCTGGTGCGTTCTTATTCTGAAAAGAGTATAGTTGGGAATTGGTAAACATTATAAGTTAAAAATTCTTTTAGAATTTTAGATTGCTATTGAAGATAAGTATTATTGTTTTTTTTTTTGTCTTTTTATACATGATCTTAATAAATTATTTATTTTAGAACCAGTAAGGATAGAAAATTATGACAATTTATCAATTAATGTTCACTTCAGGAGACCGAATGAAGAAGATTAACCTCTTAAAATATTTATTTATCAATGTGAAAATGTGTGACAATAGTTATTTAATATCTTTATACTATCTCTTTATTTTAAATTCTGAGTGGAGCTAGAGAATATTTAAATAAAACAAATTATATGTTCACATTTTCACACACACACACACACACACACACATCAATCAATAATTTTAATATGCACTTAATATACTACAGTTTATGACTGTATCGATATTATAAATTATCTTACTTTTACTTTACAGTTGAAAATATGAGAGAAATCATTGTCTGCGTCACATGTTTGAACGAGGAATCAAATGTGGTATTACGGCCATGTAACCATACATGTTTATGTGGTGCATGCTATGAAGGGTTAACTAGATTGGTTTGCCCACTATGCCGAGAATTTATAAGAGAGATTGTTGTATTTTTAAGTTAATTTCCAAATGAATTTTGTTTTATTTTATTTAAATAAATAATACTTTTGTGACAGTAAAACATTTTTATTCTTTAAATGATGCACATTTCAAACTTTAATAGTGCAATAACATTAGTTGATGACTTTGATTATAAGAAATACAATATTTTAATATATATATATATTTTTTTTTGAGCCAAGTACACATATTTTGACTTTTCCCCAATTTTTTATAATCTTTTCGTTGTCATGATTACTATTTTTACGAAAAACATTAATGATTCACACATTATCCTTGGAGACTTGGAGTGTAAATTATTGTGTGGTTTACCACGTAACCACAATCTTAACCTTTTTTTCAAATAGGGTGATTGTAAATTACTATTACCTATTTGTATGTACTAATGTTATTAATTATTATGTACATAAATAGTTTTTGTTTATTAATTTCTGTTAAAAAAATTAGGCATAGGTAACTAAAGTGACTGACTTGAAAAATATAATAATTATAATTTATATGAGTTCAAAGTTCTATATATATATGTATATCTGTATTTGATTTTTTACGGGATGTGGCTCCTTCTAATGGTTATAATTTATAAATTCTAATTAATGAACATTTTAAGCCACTAACAAAAATAATGTAAATGTTAACAAGATGTCAAGATCATATACATTGTTGTAAACAATAATTATAATAGTATCTTTGTAACTAATTGATAAAATAAAAATAAATAAATAAATAAACAAATACATATTACACATTACCCATATAATATATTATTATTATAAAACCTATTATAACAATATATTGTAATAAACATTAATCATTAAAACTAATTTAACAACAATTTAATAATATAAATTATTTTTCTATTACAGTAGTAACCAATAGGTTATAGGTGCCATACTATATAACCACTGGTATGCTAGTAAGAAGGAATTTTTGATCAATAGGGAAGCAAAGCTTTGACCTCGTGGGCTATGGATTTGATTGTTTTACTATTTTATTCATTACTTATCACAACACTCAATTCATGTCAGATTTTAATGAATAAGAAAAAACTCAAAAATATAATATATTTAAAGAGTTTATTTCTAAATGACTAAAATATTTGATATTTTAGAACTTGTTGTTAGCTAAAGTCTAAATTAGGTACATTTTATGTCTACTTGAAAAGCAACATCCTAAATCATACAAAAAACCTAATTGTATTTCAATGATTTGATTTGTTTGTTTAAATTGAAGGAAAAAGCAAGAAACATACTAAACTATTAAAAATTAGCCATACATAAAAATAGATATGTCATATGAACTATGCATATTGAAAACGTTTAAAAAAAAGTAAAAACAGACTGATACAAATCTGCTAAATAACACGAAACTCTTAATTACGAGGTAGTGGTTTTGAACGTCACTTGGGCGAAACTTTGATATACAAATAATTCCCCACTATGTTACACACTAAGGTTAAATAATACAGAGTATACCTAGGCTCACAGACACAAATAAATATAAAATAAGAGATTAGGGATAATTATTCAGATATCAGAAATTCAGAATTAATATTAATTTTCTTAAGAATAATATGCAATACCTACCTACTTTAAATAAATACAATAAGCCATATAAGAGTACGTAGGTACATACGTTTTATTAATATAAAAAAGGGTATTATTTTTAGCTTCAAAGTACTTACATATTATAATTATTCAAAATTAACTATTGTATTCTCAAAAGTCAAAAGTGTATAAAACTATAATAGGCATTTGTAATAAATTTACATAAATGAATTATAAATTATAATTATACAGAGATCGAGTGTAATGTATTTTTTTTTTATAATATTTTTTTATAATGTGATAACAGACATCTTATTATCAGGACTTTTAGATCACCGCTCGATAATTTGATCCCGAGACAACTAGATCCACGTTGTTACCATAGGTATGGTTGGGATCTCAATGACCCGGGTCCTATTTGCTCATACACCCGATTAAAGCACAGAACAATATACCTATATCTTTAATCGTGACAGCAACGTGCAGTGTTGCATATTTTATAAACACCATGAAAAATTATTTTGTCACGACTAAATCGGTGGTGCAGAAAGTGCAGTAGCGGATCCAGGGCTCAATTTTGGGAGGGGGGTAAAAGTACAAAAAGTTCCGAAATTGGCAACAAAATTGGCTAGACACAGTGTAAAACAAAGAAAAACTACTGTGGTTGGGGGGGGGGGCAAAGCCCCCTTTACCCTCCACTGGATCTTAGGTGTAACTGAGAAAGTGCACGAGTGTTGTTACTTGTCAATACTCAATTGTCATTTGTCAGTGTAAAAAAATCGAAAACCGAATACTGCACCAGTTAATCGAATACGTTTTTCCTGGTATCTTTAATATTGTTAATTATTATTTATTATCTAAAACTTTCGAAATCGTAAATAAATTTAATTGATTTATAATTGTTCAGTCTTCTCAAATATCCTAGCTTCCCAGGTTGGTATGCTGACAAATAGATCCCGCGTCATCGAGATCATAACTTATTTTAATTACGTAGAAAATAACACGCTTCTCCATCAAAATTACTTTTAAAAAGTAATTTAAAACAATTGCGTTAATTAAAATAAAATATAATGAAATTACTATAGCGTTACTGCAAAAGTAATTATGTTACACTGTTATAGTAATTTGTAATTTGCGTTACGTTACTATCCAACACGCCAACGTGAACAGTGTTTATGCCACAACAGTCCACGAATCATAATGTGCAATTGTAGGCTCGGCCAGGTTTTTTTTTCATGTAAAAATCAGTCCCTAAAATATCCAAATTTTCGCACTACACACACAGTCCCAAATCGGTCAAATCTAAATTATTTCTAGAAAAACACATAAAAAACTATAAACCACCGTTCACTTTTAAACTGATAATAATATATATATAGTATACACCAGTGGCGTCCGCAGGATTTTTCAATAGGGGGGGGGGGGCTTGAAAATTAGTTACAAATTTATTTTTATTTTGTCCAGTCTAATAATTTCAGACGTTTATTTGAGGTATTTTAAAATGTTTGTAAATTTTCAACTTTTCTGGTAGAAAAAATGCTCTTATCATAAGCTTCGATGCCCAGTGTATGTTTTTGGAAGCAAATTGGATCTAGTTGGTACTTTTAGGAGGTCGAAATTGAATCTGCTCAGTGCTTTTAAAAGTACAAGTACCTAATTGGAGAAAAAAAAATGAAAACTTATTTAAATTGTTTTTTAACAATAGCTTGGTTTGGTTATACCGCCCTCACTTGGATTGTAATTGATTAATTAAATTTTTTTTTTTATAAATGTCAATAAAAAATTATTTATCCGGTCAAAAAGATTAAAAATGTAATACGTAAGTTTTTTTATTATAGCTAAAATATTAACGATACATATGCATTTAAAGTTCAAAACAATTTAACCACAGTTAATTTGTAGTTCAAAACTTATAAAATATAAAATATGTATAGCTAATGCTAGACAATTTAATACAAGTAGGTAGTTCATTCTTTTACCGAAAAATTACAGATAATTTATGAAAATTGGTATGCAAATAACCACCGACAAAATAACCCCATGGGCCATAATATGAGACTTTGCAAATTAATCTCAAATCAATACAAAATGCGGTATAACATACCTATTGGCTATTACCTACGTACAATATTAATTTTGGATTCAATGATAAATTATTGTATATACTCACGATAAAAACAATTCAGAGCTCTACACCATACGAATTGAAAAATATAGTGCATTTTTTACTGTTCTTTACTGTTTACTTGAAAAAAAAAATCAATCTATTTACGAAATAATATTCAAAGCTATTTTATCAGTCTGCGAAAAGAACAATCTTTTTCCAGATCCACAAAATATAAAAATAGACTTCGAAAAGGCAGTAATAAATGCAGCAAAAATGTATTAGGTGAACATTTAATAATAAACGGATGTTTCTATCACTTATGCCAGAGTACTCACAGAAAATTGGCAGAATTAGGATTAAAAATAAATACCAAGAAGATTATGATTTTAATGAATTCTGTGGTACCTATGTTAGATGACTTGGCTTTTTTATTATCACTAAATAGGTTACAAGAAGGTGTTGAATATTTAAAATTAATTATTCGTCTTGGTGCCGAGGAGTTATTTCAATATTTTGACGAAACCTACGTGAGTGGAACAATACGTCGAATAAATAAATTTTTATTAAAGGGTTATTTTTTCCGTGGTTATTTTTTCGCGGGGTTATTTTTTCGGGGTTCTTTTTTTCAGGGTTATTTTTTCCGGGGTTATTTTTTAGGCAAATCGTTTATTTTATCAATTCCTATACTTGATAACATTTTTTAAATATTTTGGATTGGTTCGAGCTGTTTACAGACAATTTCAAATTTCAATTTTTTTAGGTTTTTTTTCTATAAATATCAATAACATTTTTTTATTAGTTTGAAAAGTGTCAACAGTTAATACAAGGCTCCTGATATATTGCTTAAATAGCAGTTGAAAAATATTAAAAATCCATAGGCAACATTTTTTTTTAAGTAGTTTTTAAAGTTCAATTTTTAATAACATTTATCAAATTTAAAATTTAAAAAGTGGGTCACTGTAATGTGTAATGGATGGTGTTAAATTTAAATTCAATGATATAATATCATTGTATAAGAAACACGATTCTGAGCGAAAACGGTCAGTCAGCCTATGATATTACTAAGTATATTTGATGATATTATTGTAAATAAAGTAATTTATATATAACCTATTTACGTGGAACCTTGTTTTAAATTTTCAATTTCTAGCTATAAAAGTTTAACTTTTTATAAATTATTAACTATACAAAATAATTATTAAATTTTGTCAAAATTCGAAATTTAAATGCTTATAAAAAAAATTGTGCCTATGCATTTTTAATATTTTTCAACTACTATTGTACAATAGCTTCGCATTAAATTTTCACTCTTTTTTATAAATCATAATAATATACTATTAGTTTAGAAATG